AGTGGCGCCATCTGTTGGAGGGGGCTGAACATCCATTTGTAGTCTGGACAGACCATAAAAATCTGTCGTACATCAAGTCTGCCAAGCGCTTGAACTCTCGTCAAGCTCGCTGGTCATTGTTTTTTGATAGATTTGATTTTGCTATTACATACAGACCAGGCTCAAAAAATGTGAAGTCCGACGCTCTGTCACGTCAGTTTGTTTCTGCAGATGCACCGGACGAGGCTAATTCCATTCTTCCTTCCACCCGAGTGCTTGGATCCATCACTTGGGAGATAGAGTCGGTTATTCATGAAGCACAGCAGACTGAACCAGATCCAGGTACTGGACCTCCTGACCGCCTTTTTGTGCCTAACTCTGTTCGATCTCAGGTCATCCATTGGGGGCATACATCTCGGCTCTCTTGTCATCCCGGAATTGGCCGAACTATCTCATTACTCCGGCGCCACTTCTGGTGGCCTACACTGGAACGGGATACGAGGGAGTACATCTCAGCCTGTACTATTTGCGCTAGAGGTAAATCTTCTAACCAACCTCCAGCAGGCCATCTTCGTCCTCTCCCGGTTCCAGGTCGACCCTGGTCCCACATTGCACTCGACTTTGTTACGGGACTTCCTGTCTCTCAAAGGAACTCTGTGATCCTGACCATAATCGATAGATTCTCCAAATCCGTCCATTTTGTTCCTTTATCTAAACTACCTTCGGCTCAGGAAACGGCAGATCTGTTAGTCCAGCATGTTGTTCGTATCCATGGTATACCCCTAAGCATCGTCTCGGACCGTGGACCTCAGTTCACAGAGTGTGGAGGACCTTTTGTGAAACTCTGGGTGCGAAAGTTGATTTGTCCTCTGGATTTCACCCACAGACTAACGGCCAGTGTGAAAGGGCCAACCAGGATCTCGAGGCCACCCTTCGCACACAAGACCCGACCCAATGGAGCGCCTACCTACCTTGGGTGGAGTATGCCCATAACTCGCACCCATCCTCTGCCACTGGTATGTCTCCTTTTGAGTGCTCACTTGGATATCTTCCACCCTTGTTCCCTGAGCAGGAGAGGGACATTGCCGTCCCGTCAGTGAAAGACCATTTACAACGCTGTCGAGAAATTTGGAAGTGTGTGCGCTCCTCGTTACTCCGCACTGCTGAGCAGAATCGACGAATCGCTGACCAACACCGGAAGCCGGCTCCTAACTATGAACCAGGTCAGAAAGTTTGGCTTTCTTCACGGGATATACCACTTAGGACGGACTCTAAAAAACTCTCTCCGCGGTATATTGGCCCGTTTGTGATTGAGAAGATCGTAAATCCGACTGTGGTCCGGTTGAAGCTGCCCCCCACACTCAGGATACATCCCAGTTTTCATGTTTCTCAACTTAAACCTGTCAGTTCCAGTTCTCTGTGCCCTCCAGCCGCTCCCCCTCCGCCCCCCCCTGCTCGTGGATGATTTCCCTGCCTATGCGGTTCGACGTATTCTGGATGTGCGCCCTCGTGGGCGCGGCTTCCAGTTTCTGGTGGACTGGGAAGGCTATGGTCCGGAGGAGCGGTCGTGGGTTTCTCGTGCTCTGATTTTGGACCCTGGCCTCGTCGATGATTTCTATCGGGCCCATCCTGGCACGCCGGGTTGTCCGCCTGGGGGCGTCCGTTGAGGGGGGGGTACTGTCAGGATCTGCTCCCTGCTGTCTCTCTCCCTCCCCTTCTGTGTTTGTCTTGTCTCCACCTTCCTGGGCGTGGCTACTCACCTGGCTCCACTTGCCACTCATCTCCAGCTGCATAAGAAGCCTCGTTCCCAGCAAGTCGATGCCAGTTTGTTGTCGCTTCTTATCCTGCCTGCCTGTCTGTTCCTGTCTGCCACTGCCCGCCTGCCTCTGCCTGCCTGCCTCTGCCTCTGTCCACATGACGTGCTTCATTGCATATTCTCCATTGTAAATAAACCCTTCTCTCGCCGATCTGTGTCTAGTCTTGGGTTCTGTTAAACCGTGACAATAGTCTGGAACTAAATGAATTACACATTATAAGAATTGTATTAAATTGACCTCCTGGCCTTAAATGTTGATATGAAATAAGTCATTCTATGAATTCTAATAATACGGGTAAGTCCCGCCTTCTCTTCTCTTAGCTATAGCTCAAAATCCACGATGCCGTCCATGTTAACCAATCAAGTGATGCCAAGGGCTGTCAATCATCGGCGCTGATGCTCGTAGCTGCGTGCATGCTCAGTTGTTTGTTTTTGCGGAGCCTCCGAATCAAGCCTTTATAGGCTCTGGAACTAGATGAAAACTGAACAAAGAATTCTGAACATCCGCACTGAGTTACTTATGTATATACTGAACCTATATCCATAATCATTTATATACTGAACCTATATCCATAATTATTTATATACTGAACCTATATCCATAATCATTTATATACTGAACCTATATCCATAATCATTTATATGCTGAACCTATATCCATAATCAGATCCTCTGCAGATGTGTCCTATAACGTTCAATCAACGTTAATAGCTACTGGGTTTACCGCAATCGCTTTTTTCGTGCATCAAAACTCTGCACGAAACATCTTATTTTTGTCATGAAAACGTTAACAAATAATTCTGAAAACCTCCGTGCATGTGTAATAATAATGTATATGTATAACGTGTTCTCTGATTAACATTTAAATGTGTTACGGAAACGTATTCATAGACCAATCAGAAAGGAAGGGGGAGGGAGCTTCCCGACAATCACTTTAACTGCATTCATATATTTCCTAAATGTGCCATATACAAATTATAAACTTTTGTTTTGACAGTTGCAATTTTCTGTGTGCAACTCGGTCCAGCTGCTTAATGAAAAACGGCTGCAAACGTTAATTGTCCTAATGTCAGTGCACACCCAGACTGCCTCATTTGTTACTAGTATGTTAGCTTTCTGCGTCTGATGATTAGCGCTCATCCGCTGCTGCCCTTCAGATAACTATTACGTCTTCTCCAACTGTCCTACAAAAGACAACACATATAGAGCACATAAACACTATGCGCTCCTCTGCATCCTCTCTCAAATGTTAAGCCTGGCTCATGTCTCAAGCGTTCAGTCCCTGCTGGCATCCCTCACAGACTCGCGCATCGACAAATCTCCAGATGCTATTGACTTCCTAAATAGATGTTTTTGAAAAATAAAATTAGTGAGGTACATCTGGCAAACTGAGCTGTGCGTGCTTGGACATTTCCTATTATTCAGAAAGTCGCTCATGCAGAGTAATGGGCTGTGGGCAGTGCTGGTGTGGATGTGAGGATGGTCTATTCACAAGGATCGACTCATTTTTTAAACATACTGAATATGTTTAGGTATAAGGCCGAGACATCCGAAAGATACTGCTGCCTATATAAACAGGAATTATGTTATATCATATTGAAAATGTGTCCAAAAGTGGTTTTCCTCGAGCTACAATCCTCCACATTGTTATGCTATTGGCAGTAAATTTGAAAGGATTTGCTCGAGAAGGGATGACAGTTTAATTGTATGGCAATAAAATAGGTCTGGCTTTTCATAAAATGACTAAAATGGTAAAGGGCAAATTGGATCTTGCATCACACAACTATTCATATCAAACCTTGACATATCCTTCAGTAAGAATATTTATCATGCAAACATTTTACATACATGTTGCTGTGTTATCCTTCCATAATGTTATGTATATAAACTCCAGACCAGATATGGCCTTGACTGGTCCTTAAAGTCAGTGGAATGTAAGTCTGACAAGAAACACATGTTTACGTGGCTGACTGATAATATCTTGCTGTAAACACTGGTCACATCTCACGTTATAGAAGTGGAGCCATGGCCATCACTCATAATAACAGCACTTCTCTCTTCCACTAAGGCCACACTGATGCTGCCAAACAAATAAAGGAGAACGTAACAGGGATAATGCCCTTTACATTTAGCTGCTTCAGAGCATATACAGTATACAGTACACTATAGATCCATAATGTAAGCAAGAGCATGGATGTGGTTTCACTACGAGCTTTAATGGACCTCTTAAATTTGCAAGATGCATCTCCTGCAGAGTGTCAAGCCTCTTCTGCTTCGTCTTCTGGCATTTGATGCATGCACCATATATAGTGTGTAGTTGTAGTATTAACATTCATTGAAATTCTGTACTCTGTGAGGACGCCATGCTCGATGTAGCCAACAGCAGCCGTTTGGGTGAGTGGGCATTTGATGATTGAACACACTCTTTTGGAATTCTTTTCCTTTAGACCTCAAGCAAATTTATTGTCTTGGATATTTCAAAGAGGAGATGAAACATATTCACTCTGAACATCTTGGTGGTAACTGTAGCCACAGCTGCCATGAATTAATGTAAATACCAAAGGTTTTCAGACCACACGTCAACAGGACAGGTGCTAAGAAGAGACAATAAATGTAGGCCTACTTAGACATTAAATTAACCAATAAATAGTTCAAATATATTTTTACTTGAAAACATAACTGCTTGTTATTTTATACTTTCAGTAAATGTATCCATATAAATATTGGTTGATAGATTTTTGGTTATTGTTGGTTTTAATGCACAACAATGCACATTAGGTCGTGTTCATAAAACTTGCAATACTGAAAGATGCAACCATTTAATGCCTTTTCAAAATAGGTTTCCCTCTGTTTCTGGTGTGAGTTTGAGAGGGGCTGGTCCTGTGACTGTGAGTGATGTCACCTCCATCCTGCAGGATCAGCTCCTCGCGCCGCTCCGCACTCACACTCTGTGGCTTTACGCACGGAAGCAGAGCGCATCCTCTACCTCCACATCGGGGACAGCGAGCTCTGATAACAGACTACTGCACAGGAATACACTATGGGAACTTTTCGTGAACTTCTTTTGAATTTTCGATGCCTGTGGTGCTTTATGTCAGCATGGAGCGCTGTGCGTAATCCAGTTCTGTTCAGTGCGTAATACTGAGCTCAGGGTGCACAGGCGGCACGGACTCAGCATGGCGCTCATGGACACACTGAAGACAGAATGGATTTGACCCAAGTCACTGTGCAGCCTGAGAATGTATCCAGCGACAGCAACAGTACGGACGAACCAGTTGCTTTTCCGCACACGGAGATGGTGGCTGCGCTCATCATCCTGGTGGTCACCGCGATCATACTGCTCACCATCGTGGGCAACGTCCTGGTGATTGTGGCGGTGCTGACAAGCAGGGCTCTCCGCGCACCACAGAATCTCTTCCTTGTGTCTTTGGCGTCAGCGGACATTCTGGTGGCCACACTGGTCATCCCCTTTTCTCTGGCCAACGAGGTCATGGGCTACTGGTACTTTGGAAGCACCTGGTGCGCGTTTTACCTGGCGCTGGACGTGCTGTTTTGCACCTCATCCATTGTGCATCTTTGCGCCATTAGTTTGGATCGCTATTGGTCTGTCACAAAGGCGGTCAGTTACAACTTGAAGCGCACTCCAAAGCGCATCAAAACCATGATCGCGGTGGTCTGGGTTATCTCTGCGGTCATATCATTCCCTCCGCTGCTCATGACCAAACACGATGAGCGCGAGTGCCTGCTGAATGATGAGACTTGGTACATCCTCTCCTCATGCCTCGTGTCCTTCTTCGCCCCTGGGCTCATTATGATTCTAGTTTACTGTAAAATATACAAAGTGGCAAAGCAACGTTCCTCCACTGTGTTTGTGGCTAAAAACGGCCTGGAGCGACAGCCTTCTCAGTCAGAGACATGTTTTGTTACAAATAAAGACCGCTTTGAGACTGAAAGTCCCAGCAGCCAAAGCTCCGGGAGCCATCAGCAGAGGCGCGGGGAGCTGGATGACATAGACCTGGAAGAGAGCTGCTCTCAGACGGATACTAAACCGCGCAGCAACCGCTTCACTAAACGGAGAAAAGTGGAGGGCTCAAACTGCTGCCCTCCACAAAACTGTCGCCTGTCGTGGGCGTCATCCCGGGCCTTACAGACGCAAACTGAGCAGAAGAAGCTCCCAGGCACCCGGCAGCAACAGGCCGCTGTGAACAAGACCAAAGTGGCCCAAATGCGGGAGAAACGCTTCACTTTTGTCCTCGCTGTGGTCATGGGGGTCTTCGTTTTGTGCTGGTTCCCGTTTTTCTTCACTTACAGCCTGCATGCAGTCTGCAGAGAGAGCTGCTACATACCTGGCGCACTTTTCAACCTTTTCTTTTGGATTGGCTACTGCAACAGTTCTGTGAACCCTATCATATACACCATTTTCAACAGGGATTTCAGGAAAGCCTTCAAGAAAATCATCTGCAGAACTAAACGCTCATGAATAGGCGTGAGAACGGAAATAGGTCACAAGACAAGTCTGGAACACTTGTCAGCTTAGAATCTGGGGAGTATCGGGACTGCCTCCCCAAATCCTCCATGTCCAGATATTTTAAATGTATGTATAGTACTGATATTGTGCAGATATTAATGTCTTAAGTGAATAAATGTACAGGTGAGTACCACTGAAATGGTTGTTTATCCTATTTTATTTATTCAAATATTGTCTATTTCCAAATTGGCCAGAGGAGGATTATAGAGGAGGAGGAGAGAGCGCTACATATGTCCTAAAAAATGTAGATATGTTCTCATAGAGGTCAGGACAGATTCTCAAAACGATATACCATTAGTGAAATGGGGAGTGAGCAAAGATCCGAGGCACGTTATTTCAGAATGATTTTATTTCCCCATGGGAGGCAACACAAATTGGTTTTTGTCCGGGCATTCAAATCCATTTCCCCGTTCTTATATCATGATGAAAATTGTGTCTGTAAAATAGCAGAGATTTTGCATTTGGGAATAATTCTCACTTAGAATTATTTACATGTCAAAATGCATGGCTAAATAAATGTGTCCATATTGGCCACAAATCCACAATCACTTTGAGAAGATAATATAGACTTTAATATAAATATAAATATGCTATCGCCGAGAGCATGTGGCTCACATAAGAAAGCGTGTCCAATCTGTGAGACAGGCATAAACCCATATCAATCTGCACTGCATTTCGGTTGCTATGTAGACTACACTGTTTAGAGGTTTTCTGAGTGAAAAGTGTGAGAATTTTGCTAGGTCGAGTGTCATAAAGCCGCTCTTGGGTAGCGCTTTGAACATCCGAACACCTTCACAAGTTTGTGTTCAGCCCTCAGCACATAAGTCTCCTATGGACAATGCTGCCAGACTTACATAAGACATAACTCAGCCCCCTCCGCTCCCGCCAGCTCTCTGCAGAACAATGTCCCCATAACCCGCTGCGTGAAATCTCCTGCTATCAGACAGATGTTTGAATTCAATTTATACCACACAATACGACGCGTGTCTTTTGGTTGCCTAGATATCGCCTCCATTCCTGCCCTCAATTTCATCATGTATAGCCCACGTTTTGCAACACAGCTTCTCTTTCCAAAAAGCTCGTTGTCTTTACTGTTATTGCTCCACTATGTAATCTGCTGAGATGATATCAAATAGCCTGGGCCTCACAAATCCATATAGCTTTTAGATTTTTGTGGCCAGCTCGAGCATGTTTTTGCGATTGAATGAGAGAAATAAAACATCAAAAGTCATGAGCAAATCTCACTAGGAATATTTAGTTTTTGCAAAATATCTATTATAGTATCAGTGCAGTTTCTCATAACTTGAGGCTGTGTTTTTTTTATTAGTCACATTTTTCTTGTCAAAAGATTTTTACTGTCATGGAAGAAGAAAAAGTCCCCAATGTTGTGAATAAGTGTTTCCTACAGGATGTAATATTCACAAAACATAAGTGGAATGCTAAATATGTTGTACGATAGAGCCTCTGGGGGAAAATCTATCGCTGATGCACTCTATTCTGCTGTATTTTTTGTTTATGCGGCGGCTTGAGATAAATACAGTATTTATATCCCCTCAAGAATGTCTTCGAATCTCTCCCCCTGCTCCTCACTCGCAACCGGACAAAGATAATCAGCTTTTTTACATGAAAGCCGGCGTCTTAAAAGGAATTTCTAACCTAAAAAGTTGAGCAATATTCATGAGAGATGTGTTAAAATATCATCAAGGGAAGGAAGTGGAAGAGGGAAGGTGGAAGCGTATATATTTTATTTCACATCCAGTTTCAGCAGGAGCAGAACAGGCTTTGGGGAGAAACTCGTCCATGTCACCAGTGAAATCGGTTGCAGCTCAAATACACTTTTGTGAAATCCGGGTAAAACTCCAATCTCAAACTAATCACAGAGCTCGACTGAATATATTTTTCCCTGCACCTTTTCCCTGGAGACTTGCTTTATCAGGACAAAAATGGTATTGAGATATTTTTGGACATAATGGTAACATTTTTTAGATAAGATAAGAGAAACTAAAGTTGATTTTCCTTTACTTTTCCTCATCTTATCTAATATTTTTACATCTGAATATATTTAGAATGTCTTAAACAATATGAATGAAAGTAACACCTCTCTTTCTTTCTTATTTTTTTAGATTTTTTAATTTATTTTGGTTTATTTCCTTTATCGAGTAAAAAAAAAATGACGGTGCTTTAAAGAGAATATCTGCTTGTTCAATTGGCTCAATTATCACAATCAGATTCATTTTATTTGTCATTTGCAGTAAAACCACATTGGAATACATGTGCAAAAAGTACCCCATGCGCACCAGACAAGTACATCAATATATTCAAATCTGTTTCCATCTTTGTTCATTCATTAATTCATTTATTTTCTACTCCTTTAATAGTCCATTTCTGGGTCGGCGGGGGGTGGGGGGTGGGTGGGGGGGGGGACAAGGAGAGCTGCCACCCAATGCTCATAGCACCAGTCCCTCGCTGATCCTCTGCAGGTGGTGAGCCCACAGGAAGATGGCTGCCATTTCCATAATATATAAATTCCAACATTTCTTGTGTATTTTTTATACTTTGATCTGTGTGCCTAAAATTAGGTACATCTAAATGCCCATAAAGATAAAATAAAATGTATTATAATTTATGAGTGTATAAAGCTGAGGCAGCTAACTTAAATATGATGTTGTTTGTCCTAACAGAAAGAGTCTAGTCGAACCAATCCATAACATGATGTCTTCAACTTATTCCAAATCATGTAATCTTTCACAAACTTGCAAGAATGAGCCCTGTGAGTCACTATCTGGGGAATTGGGCTGAGAGCTGATTAGCTGCAGTGAGCGTGATCCTCTCTTTTTCCCTTTTCGGCCTTAAAAAGCCGGATTTAAAGATGTGACAGAGGCCAAAGTACATGTGCAAAGTAATGATAGAACCTATTTGGAGAGCTTGGGACTCGTTATTTTATGGTCAATTTTTTATGGTTTGAAAATTATGTTTCCCTGCTGTAATGAGTGAATTTGGAATAGTTGAAGGCAAGTGAATCATAAAAGGAATTGTAAATGTCCATTATGCATATTGGCTAAATCTTAGGGGAGCTTCTTGGTAGGGGGTGGTGAGCTGGAGGTTGGAGACCCCCTCAAAACTCGCCCATGAGACTTATGTTTGCAACGTTCTAATTGTATCCGTGTACATGTCATTTCCTCTTGCATGGTACACTTATATGCTGATTACCGTCTAACCAAACTGGCAACTCCCTTGGCAAATCGTACTTTCCGTTTCAATTACCCTTCTAATCAGCAGCACAATGGTTTTAATTAGCTGAAGAGTCTGTGTTACTTTTAAATTAGATGTCAAAAATGCATCACTCAGAGACCTTCGCGAGACACCGCGAATTGGAAATTGTCAAAATAAAAGAAATTATTCATGATTGTCAGACTGAGTTTAGTTGATTTGCTGGACATGGTTGTAGCCTGTACTATCACAGGACTGAGACAGAGCTTTTAGAAAGAAGGGGCGGAGCTTGGATGGCCCTAAACATGACTCCAGGTCTGTGACTGATGAGGAACAAAGTTACAACATCAATTTGCATAATATGTCTCCTTTAAATAAATCATTATTCAGGAAGTGTACGGGGGTTTGCTCTTATACTTTTGACAAATTGAGATGACCGATCTAAGTCTTTAAAATATTTCTTTGTTTCACACCATTGGTTATTTCATGAGTTCTGGAGCCGAGAGGATCTGCACAACTTAAAACTGACAGGTAGATTATAGCTTTGTGCGTCTATTCATAGAAAAAAAATCTCTCCCCTCAGCCCACAGCTCAGCTCAGTAGATACAAAATAATCATAGATGAATCACATTTGCATTTATTTCAATATGGCAAAACTAATGATTTTGCAGGTTTTAGGAAACTGCCTTACAATTGTAGAAAATCTGGGATACAGGGTCAGACGTTTGGTATTTATGATGGATGATTATGTTTTGCACTTGAATATTGACCAGACTTTGTGAATATGTCTGGGCCATTCCGCTTGCCAAAGGTCAAATACGGATTTGCTCTGGCCTTTGAGTAAAGTCTGACCACCTGTCTAATTTTAGTTAATCCTGTGGGCCAGAAAGTGTGAGGAATGGGGCTGCAGTAATTCACATTTACTCATGGAAAAGTACAAGCCAAGCAGTTTAAGATTATTATTTGAATTGAGCTCATACTTTCCCTGAAATCATGCAAGAACTTGGTTTGTTCCTTCTGTAAATCATGCAAGATTTACAGAAGGAACAAACCACTCTGCCAAGGCTGTGGTTCCAATCAAGAAATTTATGTGTATAATGTTTAAAGGGGCAGTATGTAATGTGCTCTCTGAGTGGTCTGGTATTCATTTTAATTACAATCTAACTTTTGTGACCAGAATCTACCATAATATGACAAGAGTTCGGGTGTGTACTATCCTGGTTATTCCAATGTGGTTTTACTGAAAATGGCTAATAAACTGTCACAATGTACAAATGTTGAATTTGTATATGGATCCTAAGCAGTAATTAATGATACAAACTCCCTGCTGGGATTTTCTATAAGATACAAACTCGGTATCGCTAAATGTAAACAAATGTGTCTCAACCGCGCATGTGCAGAGGCTGAAATGTAAACCGTGTAGAAGAGATCCGTGGAAGAATGGGAGCTTAGAACCACGATGATCAGAGGATCAGAGAAGGACATTGCCTTGGACATGGGCATGCATACACAGCCGCAGCAGAACTATGGCTAAAAAATTAGGTAAGAAACTCACGCGTATTCTGCCAATTGTTTTGCAGGGATTTTGTGTGTTTTGCACATTTGAGGCTTGTCCCCTGAATAAGTGTTGTTGAAACTTGTAATTAGACTGCGCTCGGAGCGGGTCAGAACATCCCAAAACCTGTGTTGCAGATTCTGCCTCGTTCGCATTACTGTTATTGTCGGTGTGAAGACAGTTACGT